ACCCCCCCCCCCCCCCCCCCGTTTGTAAGTTGATTTCTCGCCGATTCCCGAGCACGCCCGGGAATTTCAGGGCTGGGCGCCTCTTTTGGGCAGCGCCCCCCTGTCACGGTGGGGCCGGGGCGCTGATCTTTGTCAAGTGAAAAGCGTTTGTCATGACAGGTGGGCCTCTGTAGAGGCTCGCGGCAGGTGTACAGAGGGGCGGGCTTGTTGTACACGTATGCTGTATCTCCATACATGTAGACGAGACGGGGACGAAACGTCGTGTGGACGAGGACATGTATCACGACGCCGCGTGCTCTTGTGGGACACTGCGCGTGTGTAAGGAGGCTGTTTTCTGTAAGCGAAAGCAGATGTCAACGCTGCTGGAGACGCGCGACCTCGCTGTGCGCGCCCCATTGGGCTGGTAGCCTGCCAAAAAGACAGGAGCACGCCCCGCAAGCAGGCGTCCCTGCGCGCCTCTGTTCCGCGCAAGCTCATCTGAGCTCTCTGAAGAGAGCTTACCACACCCATGTCGTCAATTCAATCCTCTTACACTGTCAGACCGGCGGTTTGGCGCGCGGAGCGCGTGATGGCCTCAGGGCCTCCTTTGGGCCTAAGACAGCATGACGGGTGAGGTGGCGGTCTTGGTGCTGGCGACACCAGCACGCGTCCGCATCCAGCGGCTACCGCTGACGAGTTGCGTACGGTCGAGTACAAGTGTACCTACCGTATGTACAGTATGTACAGAGACAAACGGCACGCACCATCCCTCGCAGCAGTGCGCGCGCTTCCGCGCTTGCACACCCCACCGCAGCTTGCACCCGCCTCGCACCCACCTGCCGCCCTCGTCGTTTCCGAGTTTCCGAGTTTCCGAGTTTCTTTCATCTCCAGGAATCAGCGCGAGGCACCGGGGATACTGTTATGTACAGTACGGTGCGGTACGGCACTGACATTGATGTCGCCTGTCTCACGCTGGTCCGACAGTCGCAGAAAAAAAAAAAACGCGGAATCCAACGCCCATACTGTACCCTTGGTACAGTACCCGCTCGAACACCCCGCCCTGTTTCGACGTCGGTTCCACCACCCGTGCCCACGCACACAACGCTTTCCACGCGCACCCAGCACGACGTACAGTACCAAGGGTACCCGCACGGCAACTGCCGCTTGTCGGTACCCGCTCTCCAAGTAACGCTATCGCCGCCTCCGCTCGTTCTATCCGCGCTGTGAAGGGGTCGCGGTCGTCTGTGCCCCGAGGGCATCGTCCCTTCCTTGGATATCTCCCTCACGTGGGCGAGTCAATTCAACCCCGCGCCGCTACCACAGTACCCTTCGAAGGGTGCACCCTCCCTTGCTCGTCCCGCGCCTACCTCAAGGGTAAAACCTTCCACACTTGCACACTCCTCGCCCGGTGCAATCAACGCTCATCCCACCTTACCCACCCAACATCCCCAAAACTCTTGTACTATCACTGCAGTAGTCCTGGAAGCATTCGCTAAGCCTCTGCCGAAATACTCCTTTTCCTTGCTGTATCATTGTGGTACCCTTCGAAGGGTACAATAGCCCTTTTACTTTTTCTCTCCTGACACTACTCCTCACACGCTTGCATGTGCCGATGAGAGACGGCGGTCAGCAGTCTACTTTACTGTACCCTTGGGTACCCTTGGGTACAGTATCACCACTACTGTACCAGTGCAATACAGCCCTGTACAGTACCAAGGTACCCTTCGCGCAGTGCTTTCGCCATTGCCTTCACTTGTAACGGTTTAATACCTTCGAAGGTAGCTTGCACCAAATTCGCGCCTCCCCATTCATTTGGAAAACGCATTCGCTTACCGTCCCTACTCCGCCGCTCAGCCGCTACTACCGAACTACCCACTCTACGTACACCACCTCGCATACCGAGTGTACTACGCCACTCAGCCGACCTCCCCACGCCCCATACCGAAACGCCGCGCCTTCCAAACCGCAACCGCCCAAACCTCTCAAACACAACGCCGCCCCGCGGGCCGGACACAACTCCGGCGCCCATCCCCTCCGCCCGACGCGCCCGCGCCCAGCCATGCGCACGCGCCGAGCAACCTCCGCCCACCCACCCAACCTCGCCGCGTTGCACTGTACCCTCCGCCGCCACGCCTGCGTCAACGTATCCTGACACCCGCCTGCCGCCCGCGGTGACGCCCTGACGTCGGCCCCGCTTACCCGCGCCCCGCGCGCGTCACGTCAGGCGCCTATTCCCACACGCCGCGCCCCAACCAAATCGTAACGGGTGGACCCTCTCGAGACACGGCGAGCCATCCGCACGCGACCTTTTCGCCGCTTGTTTCAACGTTGTTTTTCCGCCCAAGATCCGCGCCGCAGATACACGCGCCCCGCCCCTTTTTTTGGCGCCACACTTGCCCCCGCCTGCGGTCACCTCCACTCGTTTCCGCAGCAGCCGCCGTGCCAGGAGATCGGTCCGCGCGGCGGCAGCCCCAAGCGCGGCCGCCGCCGCGCGCTCCCGCGTCGGCGCCGCGCTGCAGCCGCGTTGCAGCGCCTCTCGTGCCGCGGTGCCGCGGTGCCGCGCCCGCCGGCCACGCCCTGGCGGCGGCGTCGCCCATCGTAGAAGTGGTGCGACGCGTGGAGGGAGGTCGCGTATGGGCGCGCAGGCCGCGCGAGGTGGACGCCCGAATTGGAAACAAGGCGTCGTAATAACCCCCCCCCC